TGCTTGGTAAATATTGCCACTCCTCGCATCTTGCTCTGATTAATTGGAGGGTGGGGGATTCCGGGATTCCACGATATGAAAGAGGATGCTTCATATTAGAGATTAGACAAAGGAGTTCATTTACTGGGAGGTCGGGAGTGCTAATATTTCATTTTAACATGATTGTTAGCCTCATGTTATGCTTGATATGAGGATACAAGGTTTTCTAGTCTTCTGGTTTCTGACACCTGAGTGGATGGTTATTTGAATTTCCCTTTCCTCCTCAGCCTTTTGGGGCTTAAGGGAGCTACTTTTATTACCACAATTCCTATTGAGCCTCAAATGCAAGATACTCCTACTTTGAAATTTTCTATTTCTTGCTCCACTACCAAGTCATTATATTTTGCTTTACATAATTTTCATAAGCTCCCTTGGAGGAGCTTGGGGAGTGTTTGGAGTTGGATTTTAACCCCATCTATGTCTTTCCTGGCTTGGCGGATCTTCCATTCGGTTATTCCTTGTGATGTTATTTTAAAATTGAAGGGTTTGAGACTTGCTTCATGTTATTGTTTGTGTAATGTGGCGGATGAGTCTATTGAGCATCTTTTCTTTTTATGTTCCTATTCACAGTTTATTTGGCGGAAGGTTGCCCTTTGGTTTGGCATTATTCTGCATCCTGATCGCAATCTTTTTCTTACCACTCTGGTTTGTAATTCGAATCAAAAGCAGAAACATTTTTTACAAGTTTACCCTTACATTATATGTTGGTTTATATAGATGGCTCGAAATGATATCAAAAATTAGAGTAAAGTCATTCATAATACAATGGCTTTTACAAATATAATTGCTTATGTTAATAAGCTTCGTAGGACGGGTAATGCTAAACAATGCTTCTTTTCGGGCATCACTTATTTTCAATCTTTGAGGTCCACGGCTATGGTTTGGGGGAGGATACCGCAACTCCCGGTTTTGGTGAGATGGCGGCCACCTCCCACGGGGTGGGTAAAGTTTAACACGGATGGGAGCTGGAAACCTTACAGTGCAGGTTGTGAGGGCATTGCTAGGAATAATGTTGAGGACTGTATTATTTTCTTTTCATCTCTTTGTTTCTCTGATACTCCTCTTGAGGCGGAGGCTCAGATCATCTTGACGGCTGTCATGATAGCTCATTCACTTAGTTGTCATTTTATTATCTTTGAAAGTGACTCTCGCATTTTGGTTGATATTCTTGCTAATAGAGTTGATGCCTCCAGGGATATTCTCTATTACATTAAGAGGATTAAACTATTAACCTCTCATATGTCTATTATTTGGAGGTTCATACATTGTGAGAGGAATAGACCCGCAAATTGGCTTGCTATTTTTGGTAGCACAAATTACAACTTTTGGGTGTGATTCGTCCCCCCCCCTACACTTTGGTTGTTGGGGACAAGTTAGATGTTCCTTATGTCTATTGTGATGGTCCTGATAGCATGTTTGTTTGCTGCCCCCTATTTATTTTTTACGTATTTCAGTGGAATGGTTTGGCCCTTGTTTTGCCAAATAATTTGGATGGGCTATATGGTATTTTTAATGGCATTCAGGTCTCCTATCCTCTACTTTTTGTATTCATACTTCGGTATTGGGATGGTTTGGATTATTTTTGCCTGCTGCTTAGGGGCTGGAGAGAAGTGGATGCCCCTGGGCTGTTCTTTATCGTGAATATCTTTGTGTGGTTCCTCTTCCTAGCTTGCGACTATGTGGTGGTTTACTACTTACCTGTTGTACTAATACTAGGCCATGCTCGGTTTGGCATTTCTTGCTCCTTTGACAGGAGCTCTTTCTGGACGAGGGCTCACCACATTTTCCTATTCCTTTTGTGGAATTTCTTTCTTGTTGTGTTCCTCTGTTTGATCTATTGCAGGAGCTCTCGTATGCTTTCCTCTGGACTACAAAGATTATAGTGTGGTCTTGGCCTCCTCGGTTTACTGCCTTCTATGATGGAAAGGGATGTTATTTCTCTCTTTTTTTGTGTTTTGGTCTCTACAGGATTCTAATGTGGCTTGCTCTACACATGACTTATTTGGGTCTCAACTGGATGTTGATGTCGTCTCTTCAAACTCATCGAAACACTCGAGCTCTTTCTTCAATTTTTTGGTTGTTTTTGGTGTACAACTATATGTTGGGTATATTTTTCTTTTGGTATATTGGATCTCATGTTATTTTGGGTACACAATACATTTTATCACTTTTCTTTCATTTTTTTTGCGTGGAGTTGTAATGTGGATAGAGGAACCCCTAGGACCCTCCTTTTATTTTTAGATGGGAATCCTCCTTCCCTCCCTCACTTTTGTACATTATCTTATATTAACACGTAGGGAGTCACGTGTTACTCTTTTCTTTATATATATATATATATATATATATATATATATATATATATATATACGACGCTCGCAGATTGCATCATCTTCGATATCGCTCCACTGCTCGCATCTTCGTCTTCCTCGATATCCCTCCACTGCTTGTGCTTGATATCACTCCACGACTCTGTCGCCCTGCCCGACAGACATCGAAGTTTGCTCGCCTGTTTCCAGCAGCTCTCCTAGCTGCTCTGGAGATGGCATCGACCCGTTCCTATGTCACTGCACTTGTTGGCGATTTTCCTATTCCCACCTGTGCTCCTCTTTTAAGTTCAGAGTCTGGTTTTCGTATTGGCAAGTCCTGCAATGTTTCACAATCTTTTCACGAGGCTCTTGAAGGTAGCGATGATGACATTTTCATTAAAAAACTTGGGAAAAAAATTATAAGTCTGCTCGTATTCTCACAGACGTTGAAACCAGTACTCTCGCGTCTTCTTGACGTTTTGCTCTAGTAGGGAAATTTCTTTATGATCACCCAAAATTGGAGATCATTCGGAAAAAACTTGAGATCATTCGAAAAGATTTTGATGCTATTAAGTTGTTGGCTAGTTAGAATATTGGTTTACTTGACGGTCGACATATACCTATTCAGCTATCTCATGATGTCGATTACACTCGCATTTTCTCTTGAAAAGTTATCAAGATCGACAATATAATTAAGATTGACAACCGTTTTATGAAAATTCTGAAATAAACTATTGATTTTGATCCAAAAGCGGAATCTCTTATTATTCCTGTTTGGATAAAGTTTATGGGGTTAAAATTACACATGTTCAACTTGAAAATTCTCTGCTCCTTAGCAACTGCTTACGGTAAGTCTCTCAAGGTTGATAATCTCAAACTTGCTGTCACCAAACCCTCTGTGGCTTGTGTGTCAGTTGAGAGAGATATCACTCAACCAGCTCTGGATGAGATTTGGATTGAAACCACTAACAACGGGTATTGTCAAAAGATTGAAATAGAACCCTCATTGCTCTCATTATAGTATGTTTAGCCACAACTCAACTATTTGTTATCGCCCTCATTGCTCTCATTGTAGTATGTTTAGCCACAACTCAACTATTTGTTATCGCTTGCATCCTCATCTAAGACTGGATAACGATATCGCGAAAGATCAGTCACCTACCATCCCTGTTGAGAATGTGCAACCCGATCATCTACCCAACATCCTCTTTCCAACACCGCACTTCCCGATGAAGAACACCATACTACATGTACAGATCCTAATTTGCTTATATCACCCATTGTTAGTGAAGAACACTCAATTACATGCCAAGACACACGAGAGAGCTCCTTTGATCCAATAAAAGATCAGTTGGTACAACAAGTAGTCGCTTATACTGTTCAACAACCTACACATGTCAGGCACACTTTAGACCAATCTACTGATCAGGTGAGTCAATCTTCGGATGAGGAATGACAGGTCTATTTTAGGAGGAAGAAGAAGAATGGAGGCCGACTTGAACTCGGGAACTTATTAGATGATACATTAGTTATTACCGACAATGGCACTCATCTTACCAATTTATTAGTTGGCACTTACCCTAGAACTAGAGGCAGAGAGGCAAGGCAAAATCGGGTCGCTCTCTAGCCACCTGATACTACGTATTTTGGCACTTGTTGGTTTTTTTCTTTAGTTTTCTCATGTACTTTTCAGTTTTTTCTCTTTTTAAAAACATTATAGTTATCGTGTGGGCAGGATGTCATGCTTGGGCCCTCCCACACAATCTATCTGTATCCTTTTTTCTTTTTAATATATTAGTCCCTATTTAATATATTAGCATTTAGGCTTTCTCAAATATATATATATATATATGGGTGCGCATGTGTGTATGTGTATGTGTAAACATGCATGTAAGAACATTTGTCATTAAGCTTGTGCCTATATACATTCTATGTAATGTGTGTATGCATATGCAAACACGCACAAATACAAACATAATTTTACAAATAAATTGATATATCCCATACTCCATTTTCATGTTCTATATGTTTCGGGCTGGACAAATCTCCGTATCCTCGTCATATCTCATATGCCTGTATCTATCCATGATCCATACAATTTTTGGCATCACAAAGCAGTATCTAAGCAGATGGGAATTTAACTATTTTCTCGTGCAGAAAACCAGTTACTCCGGTGAATTCAGGAGAAAAACAGTTAAGTAATGTCCATAAAAATTACAACCATCTCTTTTAATGATCAGAGGAAACACAAAATTTTGAATCACAGGCTAGATCGATGCTATTTTCTTCTAAAAACCTTGCAGAAAATTTATTTTCACGGTTTTGACAGGAGAAGTGAGTTCAGTGGGGAATTTGAGCCACCATGAGAGCATTATGCTGGAAGAAGAAAACAATTCAAGTTTTACGATCAGGAGAACTGATCTATTCTCAGATAGCTGTAAGAAATTTTCCAAGGTGGAGTGTGAATGGCCCTATGAAAGATTATACATCTAAAGCTAAATCAGAGAGCAGCGCTGAAGCAAGCGTAATGCAAGGTTCTCATAATCCACATCTCGCTGAAAGAAAAAGAACAAATAAATCGGATCCGAATAACCAATTATCAACTCAAAGATCAGCGATTATGAAGCAAGTAAACGACTGTTGAGCGGCAAAAACCTCGGGCCTCGAGAAACGAGCAGCAAGCCTTCTCCTTGCCCTGCTCTGAGCTCCGACCATTCCCTGAATTTCAAAGAAGAGCGGAAAGTGAAAATAAGTGGCAGCGTGGCTTCGGAGAGAGAGAGATGGCCATATGAAATAGAAGGGAGCAAAAGAGTGATAGTAAGATGAGAAAGAGACCGGCAAATGGATAACTCCTGCGATGGAGGCGATCGGACAGAGAAGAGGGAACTGCTCTTTCACCTCCCTCCGGTGAACTCCCGGCGGGAGCTAGCTGGACGAAACCCCAACTGTTGAGCTAGATGGTTTGTGAGTATGTATTATAAATTTTATGATTTATTTTTTATTATTTGTTATTTAAAATAATAGATAATTACGTGCCAAGAGAAATTGGTGAAAATTAAAATTTGTGTTGGCTTGCCAAAATAATTTATTTTTATTTAAATTTATACAAGTTGATCATAATTAATTGGGATTTCGCATATCAACCATTAAAATTATTAAATATAAATTTTTAACTACTCACACTTTAAATATAACTTTTTAACTATTTTTTTTCATTATAGTCATGCTCATTTACTCACTAGTGAATATGGCTGTCAAAATTGCTCGTTCTTCATGAGCATCTCGTGTTTCGATTTGTTCTCTAAGTTGATGAGTTGAACTCAAATATTTTTTTTTGCTCGATATATAAACGAGTTAAACACGAATAAAGATATGTTTGTTCGTGTTCTGTTCGTTTTGACTTGAAATACAACTTATCAATCATATATATATATATATATATATATATATATATATATATATATATATTGATGAGTGATAATTTTAAATAAATTAATTGACTATAAGGCTACCAAGATTTTTATCAGTTGAAATTATTAATTAAAAAATAGAATTAAAATATATTAAATTATATTCAAATGATGTTTTAATATAAGCAATAAGAGTTAAATATTGTCTCAGCCCTTAACATCCTAGTGCTGCGTGATTAAAGTTGTCAAAATGACTCATGTTCACGAATAGCTCGTGTTCGGCTCGCTTAGCAACAAGCTGAGCACAAACACACTTTTTTTGTTCAAAATATAAAAGAGTCGAACACAAACCGTGATATTTTTTAATAAGTCAATCGTCAATTGAGCTTAGTGTCACCTCCCAAAAGAGTCTTTATGGGTGGTGGACAGCCCAAGACTTAAATACTGTTTTTCGGTTCTACATCTAGCCGAAGTGGGACTTTTGGTCCGTGACATTTTTCTCCACTCAATCACGTGCGCCCTCGTCACGGATCGTCTCCACCTAGGGTCCCACTGGACCATGGAGAGTCCACACACCTGACATACAGTAATCTGCTCTGATACCACTTGTCACCTCCCAAAAGAGCCCTTATGGGCGGTGGACAGCCCAAGACTTAAATACTATTTTTCGGTTCTACACCTAGCCGATGTGGGACTTTTTGTCTGTGACATTAGGCTCGCTCATGTTCGGCTCATTTACACCCTACGTTTTACTAGTGAAGATTTTGAGTGAAAGTGTTAGGTGTTTACAATATTATATTTAAATTTTTTATCGTATAAGATATTATTTTTAATGTTCTGATTGTCAGTACTTTATATTCAATAGTTTTAGTGGTTGACACCTATAAACCATCAATCTAAAATAAAAACAGGTGACAATCATTATAAGAGATATTCAAACAACTAATATTTTTTGCAATTTGGTTATTATTTAAAAATATAAACAGATATGATTTAGTTTTGTTATTATTAAATGTTAGAAAATATTTTAATGTTAAAAGAAAAAATTTATTATTTAAGTTTCAAATAACAATTTTATATTCACATATTTGTAGCTTATAAGAGAAAAGATTTTTATGTGAAAATTTTAGAAATGAGAAAAGCCATGAAAACAAACTTAGTTTCAATGATTTCCATAATATGTTTTATGAGATGTATGATTAAAAATGGCATTGATAAAATATAGTTGACATATCTTAGAGAGCATGACTCAATGTTAGATGTATGAGGAACCAGGGGCTCGTGTTCGACTCGTTCAATATTGACTCGTGTTCGAAATGACTTGTGAACAGTGTGTTCGTGTTCGACTCGAATAATATTTTTCTGTTCGTGTTCGGCTCGAATTGACTCGTTAGAATATAATTTTTTTTTAAATATTTTGTTTTTTAATATAAAATAAAAACTTAATGTAAATTTTTTCAAGAGCAAATTTGAGACAAAAGCCCAAGATATTAATTAACTAAAAAAATTTAATAACTTATAAAAAAGTTAAATTAAAGACAAATTTCAGAAAATTGAACACAATTTAAGAAAAAATAAAAACCTTAAAAATTAATATTATTTTATAAATAGAAAACAAAATTTAAGACAAACAAATTCAAGACAAAATTTTCTGCAATAAAAAAATTAATATTGTTTTATAAAAATTAATAAAATAAGAACCATTTTATGTATTTATTCACTACTTTTACAAATTACAAGAAGCAAGCAAGAAACTTTTGTTCCCCACTATGGCCTCTTTGTTTCTGTTTATGTATTTAAATGCTCTGAACTTCTTAGCATTTAAATTTTGAAGCACGTCGTTTTAAATCTTAAAAGTTGAAACACATAGCTCTGAAGCATAACTTGATAAAGTGCATCACCATTAGCGTCACATTCACTCTGTTCTTTCTCGATTTCTGGATCAAAATTCAATTTAGATTCTACAAAACATAACAAAGAAAAAATGATTATTTTTGTAAAATACGTCAAGATATTGATTTTATTATTACATAGTCTTCACATTGTGTCTTTAGTATTTTATTTTATATGGAAGCTCACCTTGGATTGAAACAATAGAAAGAGTTAAAAAACACTCAGTTTCTATAGTTTAGATTTGGAGAATGATTATGAGCTAAACTTTCCGTCGAACAAACAAAAGAAAAAGTAAAACTATGAACTTTATAATAATAAAATAAATAAATTTTGTCTTGAAAAGACAATACTAAGCGTTACTGAAATATTGTACTTTGTAATTAGGGTCGTAAACGAGCCGAGCTTGAGCGAGCTCAGGCTTGGCTCGTGTGAGATCGTTCGAAATAGCTCGTGTTCGAAATTGGGTCGTGAAAAGTCTATTCGTGTTGGACTCAAAATTGACTTGTTAAACTAAAATTGAGAAAAATAGATGTAAAGTGGGGGATTCGATCCTGGATCAAATATATACAAAAGAAAACACTAACCATATTGTCACATGAGATTTTATGATTTAAACTTAGACATAAATATATATAATATATTATTATATAAATAATATATGTAATATATTGTTATATAAAAAGTTATATAATTTTTTTTTCGAGTCATTTCGAGCCGAACAAG